TGTGTGAAATGGAGGGTGGGCCTAGGATTAATCAAGGTTTCATTAATGAAGCCACCAACCTCTCATACATAGCATCCGACTTCCCCTTTTATAGGGCACCGTCGGCTACTTCTTCATGGTACAAGTTTGCCCTTTGACAGCTAAGGTACATTCCTAGAATATCCTAACACTAGTTCAAATCTCCAGGGGCTTCCCGGGTTTTGTCCTCCTGCACCACCTTTGCTTCTTGGGCCTTAGCCTTAGGCCCACTGGAAGTCCGTCTCCAATCTTGGGGCGCGGTGTTGTGAAGGCCCCTTTCTCTGGTGATGACAGCAAGGCCTCCGCCTGAGCCGTTGGAGCCTCCGCTCTTGCTTTTGAGCCTCCACCCGTGGACTCCTTCGGACGTCTTTTAGGATTGCGCTCGGGCCTCCGCGCCTACCGTCGGTCGGTGGCTGAGGCCTTCTTGCTGCCGGCGGAGGCTTTCTAGGTTTCTCCTCGAAGCATGCGCGACCTCCGCTTGAATAACTGGGGTCTTCGCTCCATCACAGTCCCCACACGAAAGGCTTTTGTCTAGCATCCCTACAAAACATCCACAAAATGCTCCAACTGTGTTAGCTTATGTTTACTCTAGCCTCCGCTACTCGTGTATTGGTGTTCCAACAATCTAGATGTTGCATATATTTTTCACACATATGATGCAAGTGTTTTATCTAGATATTATATTTGTTTATATTGGTTTCAAGTGTTTTTCAGGTGTTTTTGTAAGTATTTAAGACGCATATATCAAATGTTTCATTTGTTTTCAAACGTATGTTGAATTTGTTGCATCTGAATGTTTCAAAATTAGATTGAGTGTTGCATCTCCCTCCTCGCCTTTCTGCTGTCTCGCCTCAGTGTCAGACGCGGGAAGGCGGAGGCGATCCCCACTGGCGTTGGCGGTCCCCACCTCCTTGCTGGCGGGAGCAGCAGACGAGATGTAGGCAGGCAGGCGTGGGACACGGGGCGGGGGGGGCAAGGCGTGGGCGTCCGGACGGTGGGCTAGTGTTCGGACGTTCGGGCGCTAGCCACGCCGTTTTTCTAATTTTTTTCTCTCTTTTATTTTCATTTCTTCTATCCGTGCGTCCGTTGAGGTCATGGCTGAGTCGCCATTTTTTTACAATAATGGTCCCGTTCGCTTCGCTGAAAAAACAACCGAAATACTGTTCCGCCTGATTTGTTGTGAGAGAAAAACACTGTTTCGGTTGAAAAAACAAGCTGAAAAATACGGATTATAAGAGAAACGAACAGGCCAATAATTGAAAATTTTCACTGAAGCTCGACATATATGGCGGCATATACCATCTTGGCGTCTTTTGTATGCTAATAACGCTTGACACGGCCGGTAGGATCGATAGGCGTTTGGGGATAAATTTTGTATGAGTGCTCGCAGGTTAGTACATATATTATAACGAAGAAATCATAATATTAATAATAACCTCATAAAAATGATACCAACCGTGTGTGGTTGTTTTTAGTAGGCTAGACAAATAAGGGCGACAAGTCCTGTGGGCCACGCTGTACTACATCGTCATATATATTTTTCGTGTTGGGTTTCCGTGTGCAAAATGCACCACATGACAAGCTAGCTAAGAATTCGGAAAATACACTACACTGTTCTAGCTGGTGTATTAGCGTAACCAATTCTTGCACGCAAAGGCACAAGCTCTGGCCTGCCAAATGGCGGACGGTACGTAGTTAACAAACATGTACAAGTCGTCTCGGCGTAGAACCGATCATCAGACATTCAGACCAATGTTTCGATCGGGCACTACTACGTGTGCGATTCACGTAGGACAGGAATTATTAGCTGCCAGCAGGGATTTTTTTTAACACTTTTTAAAACTAATTTTAAATCTAACACTGTTTTTTCCCCAAAACTAACACTTTTGGCCGCGCATATTTTCATGGCGCGGCGAAACGCCTGTGCCACGCCATGCATGGTGGCGCGGCAAGAGGGATGACGTGGCGACGACCGGGACGCTAGCCGGTGACGTGGCAGGAGCTGCCGTGCCACAGATCTGGGCCCGACACTGCCGCGCCACGGCGCATGGCGCGGCAAGCCGAGGGACGTGCAACAGCATGGCACTACTGTGCCTGCGCCTGCGCTGTCCTACTGTAGCAGCCGATGGAGACGCAACCGCAGGGCACTACTGTGCGTGTGACTACTGTAGTAGCTGATGGAGACGCAACACCAGGGCACTACTGTAGCAGCAGGCGCTACTACACACCACTGCAGCCGATGGAGACGCAACTGCAGGTGCGTCATATGCATGTTGCTCCGAGCGTGCAACCATGCGCTTCCAGGCCGGTGGAGTGCATGCAGTGGAGTGCATGCAGTTGCCTGCTGCTTTGTAGGTGAAGGGATATGCTGTCCCATCAAATCACCTAGCCTCTAGCTATGTATTGTATGTATATTCATTCTTTTAACAAGAGCATATTATATGTTATTGTACCATATTTTACTACTTCTGTTTGGATATTTTATGAAAATAACTAGAATATGCTATATTTCATGACAGATGGAGTACACTTTGGTAACTATGGACACATTTGGTTGGCTTGCTCACTTGATTCGCCTTGCCTCGTCTAGCAAGGCTAGATTTTTTTTTCAGGTAGAAAATTAAGATTGGTTAACTCAAGCTGCGTCTATACCCTGTCTTAAAAAAATTTGACACGGTCAAATTTGAGATAATTTAATTTAAGAGAGATAACAATAAAGCGTGGTTAAAATTGGCTAGAATCTACCTAGAGAGAGATAGGAAGATGTCATGCTATTCAGGTTGTGAAAACAACTATTAGGAGCTTTAAAGTTTTTGTTAGAATTTGTTGTAGAACCATTCATAAACGTGTCTAGTTGAGCCAGGTATACGAGGAGTACGTCAGTCATGGAAAGGAGGAACTTTGGGGGTTACTGAGATTCGTGGGCCCAGAACCGAGTATTTGCGCGCACCCCCGGCCCCTTTTGTCCCACGGCACCGTACAAGCAGAACGGCACCACCGCGCAGTCTGTCTGCTTCTTTCTGCCCTGTCCCTGTGTAAACACAGTGCCACCAGGCGCAATGTCGCAGCAGTTGACCATGGCCATGCTTGCTCCGTGTCTCAATTCTCTGAGGCGGTGATGGATCCGGGCATCCAGGTGGCCTGCCTGTCCATCCACTCGCTGGCGCAGCAGTAGAACGGATGGATCGATGGAAGATGGAAGATGGAAGATGGAAGATGGAAGCGCAGCCCGCCGCTGCGCGCCTGGGTGGGTTTGGGGAGCTGGAAAACGTCGACGAGATCACGACAACCACGGGCGATCTCCAAGCGTCGCATCGCACCAGTCGTGGGTCGTCCCCTGAATCTGGCGACCGAAAAGACAAAAAAAAACAAGCTTCGTTCCTTCCTTGATTTCCTTCTCAGGCACTGTTCGTTTCTCTTATAATCCGTACTTTTTAGTTTGTTATTTTAACCGAAACAGTGTTTTTCTCTCATAATAAAGACGGAACAGTGTTTCGACTTATTTTTTTTTTTACGAACGGGGCCTTGATCACAGCACAGCACAGCACAGAGTTCATTCAGGTGGTGACAGCAACTTAAAGTGCCTGCTGCCTGTCGGTGTCAATCGTCACTTTGGCCGTATAGCAACCGCGCTCGGTCGCTGCTACTACTCCTCTGTTGAAACATGCCACGGTACGATACGATGATCGACAAGCGCACGGGCACGGCGTCGTCGTGCGTCGCCCCTCCTGCTGCTGCTTCCTCTCCGATGTCCTCGTAATATAAGCAGAGGGCAAGGACCGGCGTCTGTCCATGCGCGAGTCTTTAGCAGAGGCTAGGTGATAGTTTGCGGACTACTCCATGCCCCATGAACTGAGCAACAGATAATAGTTTGTGGACTATTTTTATTTATGAATAATCAATTTATATTGGTTGAACACAGAACTTACATCAAACAGAAGTAGTAAGATATGGTACAATAATATGTAATATGCTCATGTTAAAAGAACGAATATACATATAATACATAGCTAGAGGCTAGGTGATTTGATGGGACAGCATGTCCCTTCACCTGCAAAGCAGCATGCAACTGCATGCACTCCACTACATGCACATGGTTGCACGCTCGGAGCAACATGCACATGATGCACCTACAGTTACGTCTCCATCGGCTGCTACAGTAGGCACATGCACAGTATCCTGTTGTTGCGTCTCCATCGTCTGCTACAGTAGGCACAGGCACAGTAGTGCCCTGCTGTTGCACCTCCCGCTGCTCAGCGCGGCAGCCCTGCCACGCCACCGTGTCAGCGCCTCGGTCGTCGCTACGTCGTCCCTCTCGTCGCGCCAGGTGGCGCGGCACAAGCGTTTTGCTGCGCCATGAAAATAGGCGCGACCAAAAGTGTTAGTTTTGGAAAAAAAAAGTGTTAAATTTAAAATTAGTTTACAAAAAGTATTAAAATAAAAAAAAATTCCCAGCAGGCGGCATCGATTAGTCTAGGAAAAAAACATGACACTCTCACATGTTCTTGGAATTATGCGTGTATATGAGCTTAGCTCTTGATAAAGAGCTAGCTTTTTTTTTCTCTCTTTTATTATTATATGAAAAATGGTTAATCAACCCACCCAGATATTCCGTATTCGCTCCACGGATAGTCCGGCAGCTAATAATTCAACACGCTTAGGCGACCTCCCACGTCAGTCATGGTAGAACTATTTTCAGTACGAGTATACGGCCGGACTCATCTGCTTTAAGGACGCGTCCTGACAAATCTGTATTTTTATATGAAAGAAAAAGAAAAGAAAAGAAAATTGCAGTCAAAATAAAGTAGCTGAGCAAGCAGACGCTTGCTGTTGATGACTCTCGGCCGGCCATGCATGCTACGTGACAGTGAGACACACACAACACAAGTACCCCTGGTATTGGTATGTATGTAACGACAGCATGTACAAAATACAAATACAGAGAGAGAGAGAGAGGTCGTCTATCATGGATGTATCATCGATCAGTTCCTTCGCTGCTGGGCCCAGGGCGAGTGGCGGTCGTTGGCGCCGGACCCAGGGTAGTCCTCCAGCTCCAGATCCATCCTCCCGCCGGCCGCCTTCGCCTCTCCAGCTATGACGGCCTGAATGGTAGAAGAAGAATCATGTCACTCATCGGTAAACCAAGCACTGAAAGAGTACAAGTTAATAACTAGAGTACATAGCTACCTGATCGTCTGCGCCGCATGACGACGATGGCGGAGCCACCACCACTCTAGTATCCTGCTGCACCAGCTCCAGCCCTGCTCAAAGCCAAAGGTGATTCATGCATGAGAAAACAGAAAATCTTCAGATGGAGAACCAACTGGAAGCACAACGATCGATCGACGACGACGGCGGAGGATTCAGAAGGGTTTACCATGCATACCAGGAGGGAACGAAGCGTCAGCAGCTGTAGCACTTGCGCCTGTCGGCGCGTGGATGAGGCAGCAGCAGCACAAGGCCAGGGCGACGACCACCACCGCCAGGCGTAGCCTCGCCATCTAGCTACCTGAGCTTTCTCCCCCTCCAGGCTTTCTTGAAACAAACTGCGTGGTCGTTGCGCTAGCTAGCTGCTGCCACTCGCTCACTGTTCGGCTGCATCCATGGGGTTTATTTACACCGAGATCTGCTGGATCCTCGGCGGCGATTTTTATACTAGCGACTTTGCTGTGGACGAATGAAGAAGATGGGTCGATTGAGGCTTCTGAAGCAGCATCCATCCACGCACAACATGTAAATATGTAATGGTGAGTAGCTGTAGCCCATCTTCGCTATATAACCGGCTTTTCCGCAGCGCAAAGGTGCTTCATTATATTTATATTTATTAGCATTAGCACACGGGATGATGAGCTTCCCTTTTCTGTACCTAGAAAAAGATTAATTAATAATATAAGTACGGAGTAAGTAATGACCAATTGATCCGCATGCGTTGCGTTGTTTTCTTTCTTGTGCATTTCCATTGGCGTTGGCAGGGGCGCTCTGATGATGACTGATCCAAACGCAAGCAGACTGAATTTCCTCGATGGGTTGGTAGCAGACTCAAAAGAACACACACACCCAAAAAAAAAAAAAAATTGTACGGGAACATTGTGATCAAGAGGAGATCTTATCGGCGTGCAAGTGCAGTGCATGTTATTGCTGGGTGCTGCTTGCGTATTGGATGCTGACATGGCGCAGATCGATGATGCTGGGAGGGAATTTTCCGCTGCTAGCTGCTTGAGGACTGTGCCTCAGCTCAGCCATCCACCAATCCATACGTACCGGCTTTTCATTCATATCTTCAAGCAGCATGCAGCGTGGGCTGCCTGCAGACTTGTAGTTATAAACTAAACAGGGCCCATTTCCTTTAATCACATAGTGCATTCAGCACTCGAATATGAATAGATAGTTTGTGACCCTCGACTAAACGGCTGAACCTAGTAGTTTACCTCAAGTAAAAACAGTCCTCAGCAGCTCTCCAGCAAGTTCATCCCAATTAGAGCTTGACAGCTCTCAAGCAAAACATATTCTCCATTCCTAACTTCAAAGTTTGTCTTCAGCGAAAACTGCAGCAACATTTCGGTACAATTTTGGTCCGAGTTCGGAAAGAAGGCTTAAAATAAGTTCTGCATATGTCAGTGGTAGAGGTTAGTTACCACTGAATTGCATGCACAACTTTGATGACTCAGCCTCACAGGCACTAGCCAGCATCTTGTTTATAGTACATCTATCTAAAACCGGCAATGGATTGTTTTAGACTTAATTCGTTCAGACGTGAGAGTGTGAGACAGTCTCCCTGCTATGAGGTTGTTATGTGCATTTCTCTGAAAAGGATGATCGAGTTGACAGACTTAACCAAGTTGACACGCGCTTTCTTCGTTCAAGTTGTAACAAGGCATGCAGTCGGCAGACTCTCTCACTCTCACGAGGGGAAAAAATGAATGAGAAGGTGACCCGGCCCTACAATTTGTTACTCTACCCAAGACGACAAGCAAACATCCAGACGTAAAGAAGTTGCAATAATGTAAGGACATATGATCAGGTCAATTTTTGCCGTTGCTTTGGGACAAAATACCATCTCAGCTTCTCAGGTCCTTAGAGGCTTAGACTAGCTAGGTCCATCTTTTTTTTGATGGTAGATTAGGGGCCTGTTTGGTTCTTTGGGACTAGAGACTAGGGACTACACAAGGACTAAATTGTAGTCCCTCCTACTGTTTGGTTCAAGGGATTAATCTGCTGCACAAAGACCATGATACCCCTATTCAATACACAAATCAGCTAGGGGCTGTACCCCTGTTCCCGCGCTGCTTTTTCTGGCCGCGCTGCTTGCTTTGCCTTGGCACGCTGCCTTGCCTTGCCACGTTGCCGGCAGACTTTTCTCTCCCCAAATTATTCATATATTCAAAATAGTGTTCATGCAGTTCATAAATATTCAATATTACAAATCATCAGACCTACGATCTCCTAAATAAACCATTAGCTATCCAATCTCGAAACTGATTCATATTTCGATCTTCGTCCCCTTGACGTATACGTCGTCTATTTCCTTGAGAAGAAGACAATGCTTCGGCCATTGGAACATAGTTTTCATCCTGATCACACATATCAAAGTCCGTATCCGCTAAAGCACTCTCTCGAATGAAATTATGAACGGCCATGCAAGCCATAATTATTTGGCTTTGCTTTGCCATTGGATAACTCGGCAAATCTAACAATATCCTGTACTTCATCTTCAAAACTCTAAAAGACCGCTCGATGACATTTCGAAGTGAAGAATGCGAATAATTAAAGAGCTCCTTTTTACCTCTTGGCATTGGTCCTTGCCGAAACTCCTAGAGATGATACTTTGTTCCCTTGTACGGTGCAAGATAACCTGTTCAGTTTGGGGAAACCCGAGTCTACGAGATAAAACTTCCCTACATAACATGGAATTAAGACATAATAAAATTGACGTGCACAACTACCTGAAGCACCCACCAGTATATATAAGATAAAATAAATTATTAACAGTTATCTGACATCAAGCATACTAGAATGCTGGCAAGGTGGCATATATAAGAAACTGGAGAGTGGACATGAAACTGAATCGCTGGTCTATAGCTCATTAAAAGGCATAGGAGTAGTTAGCAAAGGCAATAAGAAACGTGTTCAAGTTCCCTAATAAACAACAGTAAGTAAATCAAACAAGTCAATGGCTAATGGACATGTCACAGCTCAAGTTGCCTAATAAACAACAGTAAGTAAATCAAACAAGTCCATAGTCAATGTACATCTCAGCTTAAATTCCCTAATAAACAACAGTAAGTAAATCAAACGAGTCAATGGCCAGTGGACATGTCACCACTCAAGTTTGAGTGTGTGCAATGGCTAATTATCTTAGATGTAGTGCCTAATATAGCTGGAGTGTCTGTAATTGGAAATTATATTTTATTAGCTATTTGCATGGCTACTGGTAAGATTGCAACCACACCACAATATCTATTGCATCACTAGCACACATACTGAACCACCGGTAAGCACTGCACTTGCATGGACTAAATCTACAGAAAAAGATCCGCCAAGAGTAATAGTGGCTAGCACAATCTAGGTGAAACATGGAAAGTAATATGAAAAGTATGTCAATCTAGGTGAAACGAGAGATGATAGGAGACATCAATACCTTCAGGTGGATGTGGAAACTTGTCGCCATACTTCTCAATTGCATCCTTGAATACCCTCATATCATAAACGGATCCAGGCCATCCCGCCACAACAAAGGTAAATCTCATATTGAAGTCACATATTGCCAACTCGTTCTGAGTAGTGTAACCATGCCTCCCCGTATGTTGCACTACCTGATTAGTTGGCACAACTACAAGGACATGTGTTCCATCTATGGCTCCAATGCATTTATCAAAGAAAGGAGAAAACCGAGGAGATTGTAACCTTTGATGCACAGACCTAAAATGAGGATCAATTGTCCTAATGATATCAACTGCTAGCTTGGACACGCTAGCCAGCACCTTCTCAAACTTCCTACTAACTGTCTCGAGTGATCATGTAAACCTATTTTCAACTTGTCTAACAGCTTGTCCTCCACATATCCATAAGAACATCCCCAAAGCCTCCACTGATGACATCTTACGTGTGGACTTCAATCCATATGACTCCACAAGGACATTATGAAGCTTATCAAAAACATTTCTATGCATCCTAAACATGTTGTAACAACCAGTCCTATTACCTAGGTTTCTCATGACCCATTCGTATCCAGATTCTTTAGGTACTCTATACTCAGCTTTGTTCATATATTTGTCGAAGTGAATCATACCGATCATGGATGCAGTAAGGACCATTTGCCACCTCCTCTTCTGAGCCCTCAAGAAATACTCTTCTACAGCAGCATCTTCATCATCCGAACTATCACTGTCACTTGAATCATCATCCTCCGAACTAGCACTGCACTTGAATCATCATCTGATCCTTGCTCTGAATCATCATCATCATCTGTAGTGCCATCTCCCTCAAGTGTTACTGCATTAACATCATCGACCTGAACACACAAACAACAAACCGCATCAGACCATAGGTTAACCACTCATAAAAAAGGTTCACCGCTCAAGACATAGGTTCACCACTCAAGAGTCAAGACATAGGTTCACCACTCATAAATAAATTCATCACAGATAATAGGTTCATCAAACACATAAGATGTTCATCACACATAATAGGTTCATTAAGCATATAATAGGTTCAACAAGCATAGAAGGTGTTCATCACGCATAATAGGTCCAAAGATACTACACTTTACTTAAGATACTACAACCATCATAGATACATCAAACACTCCATTGGTTCACCCGCTGCTGCGCTGGCACCATCTTCTCAACCACAGAAACCTTGACTCCAATGTGGTGAGTTTACAGAAGATGTTCCTGTTGTATTCTTTCTCAAATAATGTTGTAGCTATGAAGAATTCTTCTGTTTCTTCAGCTTCCCCACATTCCTTAGCCATGGCCAAGCATCTGTCTATTTGTTCCTGCTTCTCTTGCTTCTTCTTCATATGTCTGAGTACCTTGCTATTTCTGTATTGATCCAATTTTTCATTTGAAAGCTTGCTGTCCTGATCAAACTTGTCCATGATTCCACTCATCATGTTCAGCAAAGGTGTCTTGCTTTTCCTGGGTGGACTGTCGCCTGACTTGCATTTCTTGGATGGACTCTTGGCTGTAGTGGCACTGCTGCTTGCCCTCTTGCAGCTAGAACTACTCACTGGATTGTTCCCAAACACATCTGCATCACTTCCTGCAGGACTCCAAGCAGCAGCCCCAGAAACCTCAACCGCGTCATCCCCTACAACATCGTATGCTTGCTGTCCAGGGATGCATGAAGATGACCCATCTACTATCACACCTTGGAACATCTCAATTAGAAGGTGCAAGTAAGCAGGATTGCCTCACTGAAATTTCTTGCACTCTGCTTGTCCCTGAAACGCATAGATGAAGAACACAAATGATTAGATCACATCACAGCAAGCAAGGCA